TCAGCATTTTTAACCATTCGGAATTGGATAGTTTTAGCAATTTCTATAAATTCAATTTGCTATTTATAATACTTTTACTTACTAAATAAATTATTATATTTTTATTTATAGTGTTGTATTAATAGTAATAGTATAATTATTATTAAAAAATATTACATAATAAAAACAATTTTTTAGTCAAGCGTTAAAATTATCACTTTTTGAAAAACTTTTTTGTAAAATTAATTACGAAATAGATATTTTTAGTTTTTTATATTTTTATAGTAATAATAATACAATATATTATAAAATTATAATACATATACTTTTGTTTCAAAAAACTTTATCAATTTTTAGCAACATACCAAAAACGTTAAATTTATTTTTTTTTTTATTAAATGAAATTTTTAAAATAAATTACTAATTAACGTTCAAAATATTATTTTTTTAATTTAATTAACGTGTTATTATTCATATAAAAAATAAAACCATAAATAAAAAAAAAGTTAAAAATTTAATTTATTTTTAAATAAAAAAATTCGTTAAAAATTAATAAATGTTAATTATAAAAATAATGTTAATTAAATTCAAAGCCAAATAATTTGGAACGAAGCAAAAAAGAATAAAAGTGACCAATTTAATCATTTGAAAAAAAGTAGTGACCTTCCTCTCTCATTCAAATAGTAAACAATAAAAAATAAATCAACCAACATGTCAATAACACCACGCAAAACTGCTGAAGCTTTTCTGTCAGACATCAACGAACTTCTCGTTTCCAACACGGTGAATAGTGAACTAAATAAGAGTATTCGTGAGTTCTGTGATTCCAAAAATGCGGAGTGTGACCACATCAAAACGTACTTTGAAAAAATCCACCAAACCGATCAAAAGGAAATCGACCGAGTCAAAACAGACATCGTCAAAGCAGACTTGGACAAGAAAAGAGCTTTAAAGAAAGTCTCTGTCATCGAAGACTTAGTCAAAGAACTGCAAGAAGAGATCCTCAAACTCCAAAAACAACTGAAGGAACTCCAAAATACAAAATCAAACGAAAAACAGAACCCAAAATTTTCCGAAAATAATCCGCAAATTACGGAAAACCTAAAAATAGAAAA